GAGTCTGAAGCAAACTTCTCCAAAGAGCTGGAAGTGCACAGGCTGGTGATTTCTAACAAAAAAAAAAGAAAAAGAATCGCAACTGTAACTGCTGGCTATGTAAAAACCAGTCTCACCGCAGCTACAACTTTACTACCAGCAGAGAGAGATTTGTGCTAGGAATCACCGGGCAGGCAGATATTCTCTTTGAGGTTTCACTTTTGAATGAACATAAATGTAAGAGGTCAGCTGAGATTTGGGTATTTCCTTCGGGAAAATGTCGCGCCATTACTCCTTGTTGCAGTTATTTGTCGTTCTCCGTCAGATGAATGAGCTTTTCATTGTGCACTTCACTCCCACCAACAGAGCTCGATCCATCCTGGGCCAACCTCTGACTGTTACTGTGTCCTCTGTATATAGGTAATGCTGTTCATGTGTTTTTAGACGTGCTCTCTCTCTCTGTAAAGTGATCGAAGCCCCATTGGATGACGTACTGTACGTGGGACAATTTATTGCTGTATCTGTGTTTGAATGGTTGTACTTTGAAGGTGTCATCATCCAGCGATGGGCGGGGTGGGCTAGGGTTGATGTTTGTGATGTTTGTGTCCATCTGGAGGAGTAAGGGTGGGGTCGGGAGGGCTGGGGTTTATGGGGGTAAACTATCACAACTGGTCTATACCAAGAGTGTCTTCATCAAGGAAGTGGACAGGACAGGGTCTGTCCTCTTCAAAACAGGAACATTTTTTGCACCAAAGTCATCATCAAAGCGCAGCTTCTTCTTATTCAAAGTCACTACGGATGGATGATATCAGAACTCAAAGGAATTTTTTCGTTCTTTTACTTTTAGAGACAAAGAAACTGTCTTTTTTTTGCATGATTAAGTGTCGTCTTTTTATTGGCTTGTGTGCCCGGTAAAAGCATGACCATTGTGTGAACTCTCACTTACCGGTGTGTTTGGAAAACGTTAAGGAAATTTCTCCATGAGATTTTTTACTTACCTCTTGACATGAACACTCATTGACATTCATAAATCAACTGTTTTACAACGTAGGGGTCCGTAACTGTTTGAAGGCTGCCTCGCATGCAGAAATGCAACTTGCAAGTAACCCATCAAACTTCAAACACAGTTACCATATCTGCATCTCTGTAAAACATCATGGATGTCAATGTCGATTATCACCTAGCTAGCTAGACATTGCAGTCTTGTAAAATCGCTCTTTATTAAAGCGTTGCTATTTTCAATACGTGTGTTTGAATGCTTGCTCCTTTTTCATACTATGCCAGCAGCATCATGAGAGGTCGTGATTGAAAGTCCAAGTACTGTAATACGTGTTTGGTCTGGTCCACATCGTGTGGTGTTCTTTATGTGTTTGCCCAGTCTCGTCCTGTCTGTTGTCATAAACTAGACTTATCAGTTCTTAGTCATACCCTAAAGCACAGACCGGTTTCCTCTTAAGCCAGTCTTAAGTCCATGAGATGCTTCAAGTGTGTTTTGAACAATTTTGGAAAACTAGGACCAGAAATGTACAGATGTGGGGGTTGGGATTTGAGATCAATGGCATCATTTTCAGCCCAACTGTGTTAGTGCAGATGGGTAAATTAAGAATCTGTAGCATTACCCACATCTCTTGGTCATGTCTCTTTTTTTCCCCTTCTAAGAATAGTTCATTAATATTATATTCTTCCTCACATTCCCTCTACCTCGCTATGGTAGATTAAGGGACACAGCATGAAGCCTTTGAGCCAAACTAATTGTATTTTATCTGTGGTGGGACTTTCTAAAGTCCAATGAAATAAGATTTGAAAGGCAAAGCTTTAGGAGAAAATTATTTGCCGTCACATCTTACCTTTCCATACAATACAATAAAAAGAACCTCCACTTTCAGTGTACACATTTACCTACACTAATGGTGCACAATGGATGTAGAAGGTTAACACAAAGTTTCAAAAGTGGATGCTTATATTAAACATGGGTTTCATAAAAATGAAGTGAGTGGCCAAGTCCCCCCACCTCTCTTAGATTGGAATAGTCACACAGACAATATCCATGCAATAATTGCAAGAAAATTCTTTTTTTTTTTCTGAAACTGGAATGTTTATTGAACCTTCTGACAATTTTTTAAAAATCAATTTGCATTTGAGTTGGTATAATTTCTACTATGTCCATAATTTGTCCAATTTATTGCGCCATTTCATTCAGCTTTTTCAGGAAAAAAAAAACAAAAAAAAAAACACACGGATTCAGAAGTCACAAAAACCCATGTATCAAATAGGCATTATAGGGTTAATCTGGTCACCGCAGGAACAGTGTACCAAATTGCTGTTCAAACCATCTGTTTGGAAAGGACAGCCAATCAGAATAAGACAGCTTTAAAAGGAAATGAGCTAAAAAGGTTTGTTTTAGACCCAGGATGGACAGAGGCTTGAACTGAACTGCGAATTGTGCTAAGCTACCCTAGAAAAGAATGAATATACAGAAATGAAAAATAAACACTATAGGTCACCTCTAAAGAGTATGTTTAACAATGCCCAGAATGGAAAAGTCCCCAATTAAATTATTTACTGACTGCACACTCAACAGGAAACAAGTGTTTGTATTCATTAGTGAAGCTACTTCATAAACTAATCTGGCTGATGGAGGCATTTATTACCAGAGTAGAAACTGCTGCATATCCATACCATTATTCCAATGAATGGTGCATGATGTCTCTGCAGTTTCACCTTCACTGTTCCACCTTTGCCCATTTACGTACGCAGGCCTACTCCTCATGTTACCTCAGTATATTAGTGTATACTGCTTTCACTACACCCATGCAGTACTGTAGTGTCCATTTGTAAACTTAATTGCTGTTGAGGGCATGAAACTCAGTGAGTATCCATGAAAAGGTCTTGTTTGCAGGTGGAAGTCCGATACCTTCAACTACTTCTTTTGTATATTAAAAACGACTCAATTATCAGGTTTGGATTGTTATCAGAGTATTGGTTTTTATTTGAAAAAGCATAGATTGATGTTTTTGGAAAAAAACTGAATAAAATGTCATCTGATGCTGAGCCCTGAAAGTTTAAATGGCAAAACCCACCAAGCTTTCTGCATCTTCAAATATTCACACAGAGATTGTTTCATTCAGTTGAAATTCATTTTATTGATAATTAAACATTTGAAAGAACATAGGACAAAATGTAATTTAAAACAACATGGTCGCATCAGTGTTCATCGTCATTCATACAAGTTGAATGCGGCATCAAAAATCGTTTTCAGATGGGGGGAGTCGAGCGTTGAACCAGCAACCGATCCTGAGCCAGGTTATTCAACTCTGAAGTGGAGGCCCTACCACTGTGCTCTTACGCAAGGCACTTAACCCCCGAAGAGGCCGCAGGGGCGCTTTTAGAAAAACTAAGACAACCCATCGATCTAAATGTCCCCGACTCTGGCTGTGGTGCTCTTCGGTGATAGGCTGAAACAGGACGTACTTACAACAACATGCCTGCTGCAGAGTGTGTTCAGATTTAGACTAAAGGGGGCACAGATGTCCTTAAAAACTTGTGTGAGTGGTCACATTAGGAGCAGGAATGTATGAGCAGAGAAAACTTGTTGAGGGGAGGAGGGAGGGGAAATGTAAGGATTTGAACAGGAAAATAAAAATAAAAAATAAATAAAAATCTCCCATTTAAAAAGAAAAAAAAAAAAAAAAAAGAAAAGAAAAAAAACAACAACCCCAAAACCCCAAACAAACATTAATAAGAAGAGAAAAAAGATGGGTGAGTTGTTTCAAAAAATAAAAAAAATTCCAAAATCCGGACAAATCTGAATCCCTGATGGCAAGTGAGGAGTAAGAAGTATGGACACAGGAGCATCTGTACGGCGTGTGTGTGCTGGTGAGTGTGTAGGCGTGTTTCGGGGAGGGGTCTGAGTGTGTGGTCTGAGTGTTTACCTTAGTGGGGAGACCCCCCATCGTCCACAGCAGTTTCAGGCCTAACGCTGCTTTTTTCCCCCATTCCACGCTACAGCTGCGTGTGCCGTACGTCCAGGGCAAGGGCTCAGTTTGGCTCCCTCCCACTCTAGCTGCAATAATCAGCAAGAGGAAGAAGGTGGCTGGAGCAGCAGCAACAACAAGGCAAGCAACTAACAGTTCACATGGAGAAGGTGGAATAATGTGGAAATGTAGAGAGGCTATGTGTCACTGAAAAATAATCGCAGCACTAGCAGTTCACGTGCTGAATGAGAAGTAATGCGAGTAGCTAATGTGTGGTACAATCACATCGGAGCAACTATTGAGAGTCATGAAATGCAAGAAGAATCAGGTGTGCATTAGTATTATTTGCACTGCATCGCACGTGTTGTCTGTTATAAATTATATGAACTAACCCAGTTATAAGGTGAAAGTTGTCTAGGTGTGATTTGGATGCTGAGAAAGCCTGTGTGTGCTTCTGGTGAGATCAGAAGAGAAAAGGAAAGGTCTTCGTGCCTTCTCACTTCTGCCCGGGAAAAATCAGTGGCCTCTACAAAATCCAAAACGACTTTCGCAACACCATCAGCACTGAGAACATCACCTGAAGTCTGCTCAGCTTAAAACCCTTCGATACACACACACACACACACACACACACAGTTGCTTTCTCTTTTTACTTCACTCGCCAATGCCACTACAACTCACCATCACTCACTACATGCTACAGCACAACTGTAATCCCTCCCTGCCATACAAACGGCTGCCTCTTTTTACGAGTCTGGTACAACTGAACTGTCCAACTACACCAGGTCTCCAACTGTTTAGAAAGAAATACAATCACTATGTTTTTATTAACAGTCAATATTCCTACCAAATGTTGGTTGGCATCTTTTTAAATATTTACATTTGTACCAAATTGTAGATTTTCTTTCCGTCTAAATCACCACAGCTATCCATGAGACCAAAGGTATGACAGAAGCTGATGAGACTTCCCAAAAAAAAAAAAAAAAAAAAAAAAAAAAAAAAAAAAAAAAAAAAAAAAAAAAAAAAAAAAAAAAAAAAAAAAAAAAGGAGGAAAGAAAAATTAAAAGTTGAATTTTAATTGCTCAAATTCTATTAGCTCCATTGGCCATGCATCGCTTGCTGACATTCCTCCTGGCTCTTATAAATTCACATATATACAAAACCAACAAAAAAAAACCCCAAAACTATTGAACAACTGAATGTTGCTTATAATCAGAGAAAGATGTGGATGCATTGAACACAAAACAAGAACTAAGTGTGAATAACTACTAAATTACGTGAAGACTGTTCTGACATTTAAAGGCAAAACCGACCTTTAAAGCAAAAACTGACAGGACATATTCAGTTCCTGAGGTTGGAACATATTTTTGTTTGCACAGACCTCAAGATTTACAGAAAGCCAAGAGGGGAAGAAAAGTAAGGTAAATTATAATCATCTACCTCAACTGAAATCATGCACTCTTGTGGGTCTACTCTGCTTTAATCGATACTGCCCAAAATAGCAAAACTATGAAACATCAAGCAGGTTATTCACACACTGCTTATATCCATCAAAAACCAGTCCAACTCTTGTATGTTAGGAGGATGGTCTAGAAATTTACCTCAAAGTCACTCCTCTCACCCTGCAAATGAGTAAGCTCGGGAAATGTTTTCATGTGAACAGCCCCCATTCTTTTATTTTTTTTTTAAGACTACACCGTCAGCTAAAACCCCTTTCAGACACAGCAATCTCACTAGGTCTACCTAGTAAGACTTACATATTTCTTTTAATATGGTGCATGTCTGGATGCATGCTGTCACATGTGCGTCAAAAACAATAATCAAGTGTATGTGTTTGCTTTATTCAGTCCAGAAGACAGGATGATGTCTCTGAGCTTGTGTGGGAGAAGCTGCTCAGTCGGCAGCCCACACACTCAAAATCAGAGAAACCCTGCTGGTACTGACGATGAAGGAGAGAACAAATGTTCTCAAGTGAAACTACATCTACAGAGTGATGCTTACAATGCCCAATGACACCAGTGAGATAGGTCTTTTGGATATATTGAAAGCTGTTTGTGTGCCTGAACCAAGCCGTGAGAAGAATTCATGTATAATCCAAGTGCTGTCAATCTACAAGACTGATGTTTTCTATCCCATGTCTGAAAGGGGCTTAAGTGAAACCAGCCTGATACATTATTTGAGATGCCATCTGGTCAATTTAACAACACAATTTCAATCTGTACGGGATCAAATTTCCTCAGTAAATGAAACAATCAATTTGATTAACCACTCAAACTTCCTTTTACCTCATCTCTGCTTTCCATCTTCAAACACCATATTACATGTAGAGGTTGTGCGTCTGATCAAAACAGGTTTATTGTTACGAAAGCATCGCTACAAATGACTTCAGACTAAGCCTCGTTACATACTCTACAAAAGCCACAACAAATATGCAAGCACAACTGTTTGTACTTTGTTATTGTTGGAGATGTGCTGAGTCAACTTTGTGTTCTTCATAGCAGACTGCAGTTTGAGGTGCTGTCTAACTGAACAACATTATACAAAGAGATGTTCTTCAACACCCTGACAGATATACAAAAGGGGACAAAATGATAGAAACAATTAGTATAAAGCAATACAGCTCAACAGCACATTAAATTGCAGCCAACCCAAAGTTGGCCGTCATGAATGAACATCATGGGCCTGTAGAGAAATTAGTGTTTTATAAAAACAATAACAAAGCCATACAGTCCCAGTTGGACAGGATATGTTTCCATGGATAAAACCGGTTTATAATTTACTTATCTGTACTTTGTATTTTTGTCTGCAATATACGATGAGTTGCCAGACTGCACATTTCATGCAGCAACAATCTTTTATGTAGAGTACATAAAATGGCTTCGCCTGACACCGAACAGAAAGCTCTTCTGAAGTGACAAAAACCCACCTTCTGAGTCCAACCTTGTTTGAGGCAAAATTTAAGCTTTAACATTCAACAAGGAACCAGCTGTGCCTCTATATCACATCTAACAGGAACTATTAATGCTTAACAGCACTCCAGTATCAGCTGCCTCCCTCATCTCCACTACTCCAGAGACCTTGCTAGCTCATAATCATCCACTTAACTGAGTAATCATCCATTGAGAGACTAGTTGGTCAAGATGGAGAAACAGGGGAGAATCACAACCTTGCCCACTCTCTTGTTTTTTGCCTTTAAACTGTCCCTTATGTATGCTCGCTGACGTACACACACACAAACACATACACGCGCACACACACAATCACACATCTGCCATGTGTAAAGGAGCGTGTGGGAGGGGGGTGGGACTATCGATAAGGGGGTTCTGGCGTGTGGTAAGGGTAATCGTGGCGCGGGGGCATGGGTTGCCCGTGTGCGGGTGTCTGCTCATACGGTGTGGAGGTGGAGTAGCTTCCCGCTCCGTAAGCTCCCGATGAATCATATGCTCCCGGTGCCCCGTAGCCTCCAGATGTGTCATAGCCCGCTGAGGCGTCGTAGCTTCCAGACGAGGCATCGTAGCTCCCGGATGAAGCGTCGTAGCTCCCCGATGAGGCGTCATAACTTCCCGAAGTGTCGTACGTTCCTGGTGCTGCATAGGAATCCGATGCGGCATATGTCGGGAGTGCTGTATATGTCCCTGGTGGTGCAGGGGTTGTGGTGGAAGCAGGTGCCTGTGTGGTTGCCGGTGGAGGCGGAGGTGGTGGTGGAGGATTGGTGTAGGCATACTGGAGGTACTGGTACTGTTGCTGGTACTGTTGATACTGTTGGTACTGATGCATTTGTTGGTAGTATTCTGTATATGACCTTGAGTCAAAATTAGAGTTGAAGAAAAGGTAAGAAATAAGCAGGAAAAAAAAAGGCACACAAATCTCAATAATATGACCATGTTATATTATCATAAACTGGTTTAAGCTTAATTTTCTTCTATCACTATCTGCTCTTTAAATGTTATGTGTACCTCGCAACAGGATCCGCTCCTTCAGGAGTTGTGGTGGTGGTGGCAGCGACGGGGTCTTCAGGTGCTCCAGGTGGTGTTGGAAGCAGGGCACGTCGTTTGGGGCGTATCTGAGCAAATGAACCCGGAACAGGGTCAGGGAGGAGAGGAGCTCGATTTCCTCGTATTGGGCTGCGGTCCCGCTCATTATCTGAAGGTGCTGCCTTTCTCCCTGCCTGCTGCTCTGCCAGAACCTTGAGTCATAAAAAAACAAAACAAAAAAAAAAACAACACAGATAAGATGACCGTTTCTGAAACACAATAATAGACACACAAGCACACAAGACATTTTTACTCCAAAGTTAACAGACCTTCTGTCCCTCCTGAAAGAACTTGGCTCTCGCTGCTTCGAAAAGTGTTGTTGGATCTGGTACAGTCTGGGGCTCCACCTCTTCCTCAACTGCAGCCGCTGCAGAATTGTGATTTGCCAGCTCATGAAACACCTGGTCAGCTACAGATCCATACACTTGGCTGGCAAGAGCTCCATATATGACTCCATCTGCACCTTTAGAACTGGTGATCCCTTTCAGAGCAGCGTAGGTGGGGTCAAAGGATGTGGTGTTGTAGAAAGAGTTATGGACACTTTGTTGAACCTGCAACAAAAGAAAATTCTTAAATCTAGTCCGTCTAAACTATGGTGCAATATAGGGAGTCCAAATTAAAGTTCATAAAAGGCTTGACTGACAATAAAGTTTCCTAAAAAGTTGTGATATTCATTACTTTGAAAAACAAAGAACAGAAGGCTTTCAAATGGCAGTGGACATCCTGGTGGAGAATATACTTACTTGTATGGGTAATCCAGCTGCAGCAGCTGCAGCTGCAGCAAGCACAGCTGCTTGACTCTGATGATGCTCTAGTGACGGAGGCGGTCGTGGAAGAAGACCCTCTCTGCCACCTGCTGAAAACATGATTACAACATAAGCTGCATTTCATTTCTTGGAAAACAAATTGCCCTTTCATCATCACCTGCTGTTACAGCACCTGTGGGGTTAGCTGAATTTCCAGCTGTCATAATCTGATTTATCAGAGGTTGGGCTTTGGACAGCTCTACAGCCAACTGACGCCCCTTGAACATGGTCCCATTGAGTGCCTCAATAGCCGCCAAGGCTTCCTCCTTCCTCTCCATATGCACGAATGCATAGCCGACATTTGAGCATAACCTTGCTGTAGTTTACAGGAAAGAGAAAGGTCAACATTAGTCTGAGGCTGATTTTTACAATGAAATGTGTGCATCCCATATTTTATGTCACATCAACTTGAAAGATTGGACCACGATGCAAACCAGAAAAGTCACTTGCTCAGAGTTTAAAGTCCCCAAATCTGTTCTTATTCAAACCAGCTCAAGTTAATTAAATCCTGATGCAAATTTCTCTCACACACAATCTTTACAGATTACAAGGCTTTATACGTTACCTTTGACTTTATCACAGTCTAAAACTCTTCCGAAGGTTGAGAACAGCCCATGCAAGTCATCTGCTGAACATGTAGCGCTGAGGTTCCCCACAAACACTTTAGTGGAGTTGGGTGGGCGTGCTCGTGACTCTTCGACTACCAGGGGTCTGCCTCGGTACTCTTTGCCATCAAGATGTCGTATCGCCCTGTTAACGTAAGAACAGCTAAATCATAAACACATTCAAAACCACAGATGAGACTATCAGTAATAACATTTAACTGCAATATACGGTCACTGCCTACTTCCCTAAGCACACCTATTCAAAGGCTCATTAATGCAAATATCCAATCAGCTAGTCACATGGCAACAACTCAAGGCATTTACATATGTAGTCTTGGTGAAAACTACCTGCTGAGGTTCAAACTGAACATCAGAATGAGTAAGAACGGCAATTTCACTTTGAATATGGAACACCAACTTCCTGCTATCCAAGACCAGGAAACCGGTGCTACAATTTGCACAGGCTCACCAAAATTGGACAATAGAAGACTGGACAACAACTGCCTGGTCTCATGATTAAGTCAACATTCATATGGTAAATATTTATTCTGAATGTGACCATCAGTTCACTGTACTTAAATGTCCTTCAGTCACTAGATCTTGACCCAAAATAGCACCTTTGGGATGTGCTGGAAGAGTAGACTCACATTATAGGTGTGCAGGCAGGACAAATCTGCAATGACCAGATGATTTCACATCAATATGAACCAAAATCTTTGATGAGACCCTGTTGAATCTATGCCATGAAGAATTAATGGAGTTCTTTATGGAAGAGATCAAATACCAGCATAACAAATACTGCTGCAGCCTTTCCTTGTTTTACTAACTGCACTTTAATAGGAAGTAAACAGCTACTGTAATTAGTCAGACCACAACAGTGTTTGGTGAGAGAATGGTCCTGTTCCTGTTTTCTTTTTAGTATCTTAGTTTTTCAGATACTGCAGCCTGTTGCTTCTTTCATACCTTTATAAACTTTGTTACTTTTATTGTTTGACCTAGGTCTTCCAATTTCTAATAATAATGAAAGAGACAATTCTTGTATCTGAACTGTTTGTCTCCACTCAGACATTTTTTTAAGGTGTCTGCAAACTGTAAACTATTGCATGTGTTTTAGGCTTCTACTGTATTAGACTAGTATTAAGCAGGGAAGTGAAGCTAAGCAAATGGTCAAATTAAGCTTCTATGCATGGATCTTGGGATTTATAATTAGTCATTACTTTTATAATTAGTCATTACTTTTAAACAGTCAAAGCACTGGAAAGGTCAAATAGGTATATTTGTTACTTTTAACCTTTAATTTATATTGTATAACTCATTGATATGATTGTTGTACTGTAACAAATATGTAGCTCCCAGAGTGGACTCATTTCTGTGTAGTTGTTTTAACACTATAACAAAAACATCATTTATTTACAATGCAGATAGTGCTTACCAACTGTATCGTTTAAGAGGTTCAGAATATGTACTACAATACCAAAAAATCAAACTGAAAGAGAATGACATGTCATGTAGACTAAATCTGACTAAACTCTCAAACATTAAAACTAAAGACATTTCAACTTGTTTCAATTTATTTAACTAAAGTCTAGTTTATGACATGTTGTTTTGGGGTTTGTTTTTTAAACGTTTAGTTTTACTTAAGTATAACAACCTTGATGATAAAATAAATGAACGTTTCTGGTTTTGGAATAGATAGATTCTATCTATCATATGATGTTCCTAACTCACAATAGGATTTTGAAGGCCACTGTGCACATTAGTGCAACTGGTCAGAACAAAGTTAAGTAAAGAGACACAGAGCAATGCATGGCAGATGTCTGTGCAATACTCTATTTAAGAGTCTGCTGATAAGCCATAATTATTTTGGGGGTTAGCTTTACTTTACTACACATACTGAACATCACTAATGCAAATGTTGCATTTCTGACGCATGTTTAAAAACGACAAAGCTGGACTACTTTAAATGACTAAATACAATGAACTCAGTCTGCTCTTATACTTTGAGAAAAGAATGTACGTTTTCATGTAAACTACATGACTCCTTTTGACATGATTTCCGAGATGTACAACAACATTTAGGAAAGCAAAACACTAATTATATCTAATAACAGTGATGGCCAGTGTAACAATTATACCTGTCTGCTGCCCCCTCTCCCTTCAGGGTAACGAAAGCATACTGTCTCAGCAACGAGCAGGTGTTGATCTCTCCATATGGACCAAAGAGCTTGTTCAGTTCTTCGTGCGTAGCATCTATAGGAAGGTTCCCTACAAACAACTTCACGTTCTCACCGCTCATCTCTGTAAAAACCAGGCATCTGCAAGAGAACAAACATGACGCGGGGAACATACGGTCATTTGTGATTTGAGCAACGGCAACAGGCTAGCTAGACGATTAGTAGATCTCAACAGGAAATTTGCTGTCTTGAAAAAATCTCGAAAGGCCTATCAAAGCTGATTGATCCACCCCCCACCCCACACACACACACACACACAATCTGGCGTTATTACCAGGCGGGTTTTTTTTTTAAAGCTATTTGCGTATTCGCCGGATTGCCACTTGGCAGTCGCCGCAGCGACGCCAGGAGGTATTATTAGCTAAGCTAATAAAACCGTTAAGTTGGGCGGCGAAAATGCCTCCAGATTAAAGTGTGTAAAATGCCTAGGTTAGCCGCAGAATGGCAAAAGACGAAAAATAGCTACATGTAACTGTTTATATAGCTTACTATAAGCACCGTTACACGACCAGCAGCACGCTAAAACTCCAGACACTCCTGGCCATCTTGTTGAGCATTAGCTAATGTTAGCTACGCCAGCTAACGCTAACGTAGAGGGTTTTATCTGAGTGGTAGCAAACGTCTACCAAAGCTAAAGCCAGGTCTCTGTTACCAGTTATCGTAAAAAAAAAACTAAGCCCGTCTAGTTTTCATATTTGAACAAAAATTTTGAATTATGCCAGCAAAGTACACAGAAGCCTTACCCAACGCGGTCCTGGAGCTGTCGTATTTAAACCTCACATCCGTTTCCGGTTTCCTGAGGCAGGGTTGCACACATGGAGGGCGCAGTTTCACCAAGACGGTCACTTTACTGGCAAGCCACTATTTTACTTGCATATCTTCGCGCTAATGTGCTAAAGTAGACTGTAGCACTAACAAAATGGATGAACGGAGGCTATGGGTTCTGTAACTACAGGACTTTAAACCAATTAACCCCTGTTTAACTGCTCTTCTAAAACGACTTGTTACTATTATCTGTACTAAAAAGTAATACAAAAATAAGACATAACTCAAGTCTTATGTGGATCTAGAACACGTGAGTCTGACGTCATGATGACTTGACTTGACTCCAGGTGAGATCAGGTGGGTTAGGAGGAGGAGCAAAAGAAGGCATCTTCAGATCGGAGAGCACGCGTCATGACAGGCCAGAGTGAAAGAGAAGTAAACTTCCTATCGTAGTAAAAAAAAAAAACACGAAGAAGAAGGTGAAGGTGGAAGAACACGAAGCATGCCATCATAAAGTGGATCCGGAGGTGAAAAAGGAAGGAGAAGAATCGGAGCAGAGAGGTAGTAAAACAGTTTGAGTTGGTTGTTTAAAAATAAGATGAGCGTGCTGTGACACACAATTACATGACTGTAGCGCTAGAAGCCTGCGTGCAGCGCAGTTTGCGGAGGAAATGTGCAAGTTTTAGAGGAATGTACTTCGTGCGGGTCCAGACAGAAGTTGACATGTATAGGCTGCGGTCAGATTCAGCCCATTGATGCGTTCGTATTAAGAAGGATAAGTGTGTCAGTTTGACATTTGCTCCTTTTTTACTTAACATCTAATGACTGTTGTGACGTTTGTGTTTGCTGTCGGTGTGTCTGTAATTTAAAGATCTTCACCATAGGTTGCTATTTTATTTAAGCTCTGTCTGAGCTGCTGTGCTTTACCAAGTCTGGACTTGCCGGTCCAATCCAGTCAGATTTATGGTACAAGTGTGTGTCTCTGTTTGTGTGCAGCAGTCTCACCCGTCTTTCTGTCATTACTGGGATCCAGAAGGATGCCATAACCACGTGTAGCATTATGAGACTGCATGGAGATTTGGAGCACATTAACTATGTTGTTGTATGCATATGTGTTTAGATGGCACAGCAAGAAGAACCCCTGTACGATTTCCCAGAGCCCACCCAAGTATCGGAGCGCAAGCTGAGGGGTCAGGGTTCCCTGAAAAACATCAGTGTACTGGATCGTCTCCTGCTTACAGTGCCCGTCTGGCTTCAGCTATCAATCAACCCAGCCACAGCACTGCACATACTGCAGAGGGAACCTCCCGGGGTCTGAGACACAGACATAACACACATCCACATTTCCTCTCCTACCTTTTCTTATGCACTCCCAGTTGCGTTCAGTAATCACTTGTTGTCTTGCAGACGTTCCTGGTGCGAAAGTCTCGCACGTCCCAAAGAAACGTGCTCTGTGTGCGTTTGACGGATGACAGCGTGCCATCGTTTGTTCAGCAGTTTGGTATCAGAGAGGAGCAAGGCAGTAAGAGCATTACCCCAACACTTGGTAGTCTTTGGAAGAGTCCACTCACACTTTAGGAAAGCATCTTAACATTTAATAGAGTGCTGTGAAAAAGTTATGTAGCTTCTTCCTTATTTCTTTTCTTCTTGTTGCATATGTGCCATACTTATGTTAGATCATCGAGCAAATGTTAATATTAGACAAAGTAAATACAAAATGCAGTTTTTGATTAGATAATTTCATTAATTAAGGCATCAAAGATGGGAAGGAAGTGTTTGAATTCAGCCATATTAGAGAGTTTTCAAGTTTGAATGGTCTGCCATCGTATGACATTTTTGCCCAGTCACTTTCTTATTGATGAATCATGAACACTGAGGCAAGTGAGGCCTGCAGGTCTGTAGATGTTGTTCTTTTGTGACCTCTTGGATGAGTCGTCGATGTGCTCTTGGAGTAATTTTAGTCAGCTGGCCACTCCTGGGAAGGTTCACCACTGTTTACTCCATATGTGGATAATGGCTCTCACTGTGGTTTGGTGGAGTCTCAAAGCACCAAACAAAGTCGCTGATAGAAGTCAATGACTTTGTTTCTCAGCTTTTCTTGAGTGTCTTTATATCATGGCATGATCTGTTGCTTGTTGAGATCTTTCAGCCCACATCACTTTGTCAGACAGGTTCGATTTAATTTATTTCCTGATCCAGCAGGTCGGGCAGTAATCATGCCTGGGAGTGGCTTGTAACATTGAGCAAAAAAAAAAAAAAAAGTGGTTAATCACAGTTAATTTCTCATTTAACAAGGAGAAGCAACAACACCGTACTCGTGTGCTGGATATAAATGTAAATCGGCATTTTCTTTAATTATATTCTTTTGGCTAGGTATTATATACACCATTTGCTTGTTTTTACTTTATTATTTATTGCAACAAATAAAAATTAAAAAATACACGCACACAGACCATGATGAGTGCAGTGTTGTCAGCAATTCTATGAGTCTTATTTAACCTAGCTTTAAAATCTTTTCATTCTGAAGATGCTGTAATTAAATATCAGACAGCTTTAAATCATCATTACAACTACACACTATCATTTCTGTACTATTACACAGTACTTACACATAAATACTAGAATTCAGATAAAAGCAAAGATGCCTTTCATTGTCTTCTTTTAAAGTAAAACTCCAGGCCAAAGACCCAATATTCTACTCAATAATTTCTCAGATAAGCTGTATTATTAATACCAGCCAGCTTTCCCTCGCACTAAACATCCCTGACATTTGAATTTTCTTCATCCGCAGCTCTGTCTCTGGAGACTTCAGCCATCAGCTTTCCAGACCTTCCAAGACTAATTTCCTTTTACTGTGTTAGCAGGTAAAATGTTGCCTTCCTCATTCTCAGTTTCCTTAGTGGTTCTTTGGTATAATTTTGATTCTTTAACCTTGTTCAAGTCCTATTACGTTGTCATCTCTTTTTCCACGTGAATCCATTCCAATATCTGTTTATGTGCAAGAACTAATGTGGATCTTTTTAATCTCTGCGGCGCATGTTTCTTTTCAGAGATGTGCTACCATTCCCTCTGGAGCTTCCTGACGCAATAGCGAGGGCATCATCGCACAAAGAGCTCGAGTCTATCTCACACATGGGAATAGGTTGGTCATTTCATTTTTTCCCCAATAGAAGATTTTGTAAGCATGCTCAACTTCAAATACTTTGATCTTCCAGGATTTATTTAAGCACATCATTAATTATGTCTCAGCCGCAGGTTAGCAAGCAGGCACTGGGGGAAGTTTGTGTGTAGGTGCATCTTTTCTGTCCTCTGCTTACTTAATTCTTTTATGTATAAAATGTGAATTTAATAAAAAATAAATAAATCAATAGTAAATTACTGTCACAATGATGTTGAATTTATGCAGCTTATAAAATGTTAACTTTACTCAATAAATCACTGTTCGCATTAGAATCACAGTAAAATTTGGTGATGAACTTATTAAAATAACCAAAACATTTTTTTTGTTGTGTAGAGTTTTGGAATTCCCACCTAAATGTCCGTGGGCCACGGGAGACACCTAAGCCCCGAAAAGCTAAGGAGAAGAAGCGAGATGTTGCAACCTCCGCCCTGCCTAAGTCTGCACTGCAGTCAAGCTCTCCAGCTCCGTCTGACTCAGCTCCACAGCCAGACTCAGACAACCAGCATAAATCTGCACCTGACTCAGATGCTGCCGCCCAGAAATCGTCTCTAAATTCCACCTTGTTCCACGAGTTTTGCCCGATCACCACGCGTAGTCCCTTAGAGCTGGACTGTGGCTCTGGGCTGGGCGCTCTCTGTTTCATCAACCCTCTTTTCCTGCAGTCTCAGAGCACTTTATCCAGACGGCGCATGTTCAAGCACAGCCTCAAAGTCCGGGTTTCAACAGAGACATCGACCATGCTGTCGCCCCCGCTTGCTCCACCACCTCCGCCACCTTTAATGCCAAAAACCAAGGGGAGGTGTAAAGCCCAGAAGAGCGGACAGGAAACACTCGAGCTGAGAAAAGGCCAAACTGCTCAAGACGGCCATACCCAGCCGGTGACGCAAAACGATCCCAGCGGTGGTCAACCGCAGCCTTCATCAGCAATTCCTCAGATCCAGCCAGGGATGCAGGAGCAGCAGATGGAAGCATGCCAAAGTAAAGAGGGAGTGAAAGAAGAGGAGGCTACTGCCCAGCCACCAGCAATAAAGGAGCATCTCCCAGTTGACTCAGACTACATGAAACCCTGTCCAATAATCAGTTTCCCCAATTGTGCCTCACTGTCGTCTAAGCCACCTCCTCTTTTCCCCAAAATTTTTCAATCCCTCTCTCCTCGTGACTCTCCCAGTGCTTCTCCCTCTCTTTCCCCTTATCAGTCCCCATCTGCATCTCCCAAGATGCACATTTCTCTCTCCCCTAATGACTCACCCAGCCTTTCTCCCTCCCATTCGCCTTATCAGTCCCCATCTCTTTCTCCTAAGGTCCCCTACTCTCTCTCTCCCTTCATCTCCCAACCCTTCTCTCCGTTGATAGAGCTGGCCAGCGATACATACTCCACTCCTTCAACACCGGATCAGTTGAGATCAGACAGTGAAGCTGAAGAGAAGGAGGAAGCACAAGTGATCGAAAACAAGGATGGAGAATACAAAGATCAGCACAAAAAGATGGAAAAGGTTGACTTGGTGTTACAAACGAATGCTGCTTCTGTAAACGATAGGGAGAGCTGCAGTACTGAAGAAACAGCAGAAACTCCTGATTAGGGCTGGGTATCGTCACTGATGTTTAGAATCTATTCGATTCCGATTCACAGGGTCCTGAATCGATTCGATCCAATTCAATTTGAATCTGGGAAATTTTGCCTCAGACAGTCAGAAATATTATAATTCAGATCAGTACATTGACATATTTTTGTATCTATTAAAAGGGAAGCTGACACTTTCCAAACTTTATCAAAAG